GACTGGTGGGTGGGTAGGCAGTGGGGACTGTGGCTTATTACAGCCTTTGCACCTTCCCCCAGGCTGCCATCAATGTACTTCTCAGCATCATTGAGCGCAAGGGCCCAAAGGAGGCAAAGCCAGGGAGCCTGGCCGTGCTGGCCGGTGAGGGGCGGCGGCTGCGGCCAGATGGGGGTGTCTTGATGAGACCGGTCATCTGTATCTGTAATGACCAGTGAGTAGTTGGGGCAGGGGTGTGGGTGGGGGCCTGAGGGTGTTTCACTGGGTGGGGCTTCCACAGGGGGTGGAGGACCCCAGTGGATTTGAGGCCGGGATTTGGCAGGGTGGTTTCCCCCCACACTCTGTGCCCTTCCCACAGGTTTGCGCCTTCTCTGCGACAGCTAAAGCAACAGGCTCTGCTGCTTCACTTTCCGCCCACAGTACCCACTAGGCTCATGCAGCGGCTGCAGGAGGTCGGTGGAGGTGGGGCGGGGTACAGAGCCTAGGCCACCTTCCTCATGACGGGGTGGGGGAGCATGGCCCTCCCCATCCTTTCCCTCTTGCATCCAGGGCCCCATTTCCTTTGTTGCTGTCACTGCTACTACCCCCTACTCCCAGTGGCCCAGGTCCTCAGGGTGAGGGGTGACTGGATTACTTTGGTCTCTGGTGGTGGGTAGTCCCTAGCAGGGAGCAAGACCAGTTCATAGGGCATTGCAGCCTTTATCTCCTCTAGGACGAGAGCAGCTACTCAACTGTTTCCAAGGAGGACGTGGCCATAAGGTGGGGCATGGGGGGCATGCGGATACCCATGCTCTTGCTTCCTGCAGATCTCCCTACGGCAGGGCCTGCAGGCTGACCCGGGTGCCCTGGCAGCTCTCTGTGAGAAGACAGACAACGATATTCGTGCCTGCATCAATACCTTGCAGGTGAGCAGGGGGACTCCGGCTGTGATGTGGTGGGGCAGGGGTCCACGACCTCTCACCTCCCACACTCTCTGTGCAGTTCCTGCATGGGCGGGGCCAGCGGGAGCTGAGCGTCCGGGCAGTGCAGACCACACGAGTCGGCCTCAAGGACCAGCGCAAGGGGCTGTTCTCTGTGTGGCAGGAGGTCTTCCAGCTGCCCCGGGCCCAGAGGTAGTTGGGGGAACAGGATGAGCGGGTGGACCAGGCTCCACCTGGACATCGTGGTGCCCCGGCCCCAGACACCAAACACTGCACGTGCAGTCTGGCCCTGCTTTGCCAGCAGAGGCCCAGGCCTGCCTGGGCCCTGTTTTCAAGGCTGTGCTTCAGCCTCCCTCACTGCCCCTTCTTCGGGCCATCTCGGATTGGGAGGGTGCTTCCAGGAGGAAGAAGGTAGGTGGGGGCCCCACTCCAGCCTCAGCACCCCCTCTGCAGGAGACGTGTGGGCCAGGACCCCACTCTGCCTCCCCACATGCTCCTGCTGGGCGACGGGCTCACGGGCTCAGGGCACCAGGCTGCCAAGGCACCCCTGACCATGGCTGCGCAGCGGTTCTACCACATCCTACATGTGGCCACCTCCACGGGCGAGCATGAGAAGGTAGTCCAGGTAACCACATTCTACCTGAACCTTCTTTTCAGGGCGTGGGGTGGGGGGGGGGGGTGTTCCTTTGTTCCCAGTGAATAGGAGACGGTTCAGGTAATGCCAAGCTCCAGAAGAAGCAGGTGGGGTGGGAGTGAGGTGGGGCAGAAACAGCATCGGGGACTGTGAGCAGGGCAGAGGGCTGGAGGAGGGGCTGGCTAGTGCTGGTAGGGGAATGGCCACCAGCATGGGCTAGGAGGGAGAGGCAGTGGGCTGGGGCTGGGGGGTGGGGGCGTTGATTGATAGGATCACTGGCTGCCAGTTGGGAACCAGCAGGAGAGACGGCAGCAACAGCTGGGCAGCCCAATCCAGGGACTTGGAGGGGCTTGAATCTGCACAGCAGCTGCAGGAATGGGGACACGTGGGTTAGAGGGCAGGGAGGGATTTTGGCCTACCTGAGCAGCCGACAGATACGCCTCTCTACCCCGAAAGCCCGACTTAAGCTGTTTGTCTAAGCCGATTTGGGTTAGTGGTCAGGGATCCATGCAAATCTAGAAATCCACAGTGAGGAGGGCAGAGCTGTAGTAGGAGTGGGTGGGACTTCCTCATGGAAGGAGAGTTGAGGGCTCGTCCCTCAGTTCTGATGGACAGAACTTCCTACGTGTAGGGGTAAGGGTGGGGGTTCTTTTCTGTACATCCCAGGTCTTGGTAAAACCAGAGTTGGGCAGCAGGTGGGCCCTTCTGGTCCCCCACTTGGCCATCTGTGGCCACTCACTGGCGTTTGCTGCTGTCCTGAGTCCCCAGACTCAGCGGGGCAGATGGGCAGTGCAGGGCCCGGTGAGAAGCACTTGTGTTGTGGGGGAGCCATGGTGCCGAAGGGGCTCAGGGACGTACCGCCCGCAGGGCCTGTTTGACAACTTCCTGCGCCTGCGCCTGCGGGACTCCAGCCTGGGAACCGTGTGTGTGGCCCTCGACTGGCTGGCCTTTGAGGACCTGCTGGGCCAGGCCGCCTACCACAGCCAGAGCTTCCAGTTGCTGCGCTATCAGCCCTTCCTGCCCGTGGCCTTCCACCTGCTGTTCGCCTCCAGCCATGTGCCGAGAATTGCCTTCCCCAGCAGCCAGCAGGAGGTGTGCCCTGCACCCTGCCCCTGTCGGAGCTGGGCCCCACATCTGGGAGTGTCCTGGCTGATCTGGTTCTGGTTTGTCCTTCACCCCAGGCCCAGAACCGGATAGGTCAGATGCAGAACCTGATCCAGACGCTGGTGTCAGGTATTGCACCAGCCACCCGCAGCCGAGTGGCACCCCAGACCCTTGTCCTGGACACCTTCTGCCTGCTCCTGGACATCCTCATGCCTAAGCTTCGCCCCGTGAGTGCCTCACCCAAAAGGGGAAGGTGTGGCTTCCAGCAGAACTGGGCTCTTGGGTATGTTTAGCATTCCTGCCTGTTGCATACTTGCCCACAGGTGAGCACACAGCTGTACAGTGCCCGTGAGAAGCTGCAGCTGGCTAGCCTGGTGGGCATCATGCTTGCCTACAGCCTAACTTACCGCCAGGAGCGCACACCTGATGGGCAGTATGTCTACAGGCTGGAGCCGTGAGTCTGTACCACCTGGGAAGGGGGTACCAGGGGGCTGGGGCGGGAGTCCGAAAGCGTCACCTTGGTGAGATGTGTGTCTCAGTGTCTGCATTTGCCAGAGGTTGGGGATTGGGGTCCCCACCCAGCTCTTGCCCTCACGTTGATTGTGAAGTGGGCCTACGCTGGGCAGAGCCCTGGGGACCTGAGGTTTTACTGCAGAACCTCTCACCACCCAAGTGCTCCCCGGGAGCTTCCCTAGAGGACCCTCGTGCTCCCGAGGGCATCGTTTTCTTGTCCTGAGATGGTTGTGGGGATGGAGCGCTGCCCCGGGGTCCTGCTGCTCCACAGGGCCCCCAGTGCTTCCGGGATGCAGATGCTCCTCTGTGTCGATGGTGAGGAGGTTCCTGAGTGCCAGCCCAGCCTTGCCATGATGTCTTGTTCCCTCCCGGGGAAGTAGGAGGTCCCCTCTCAGGTCCACACGCAGTTGAGGAAACTGAGGTTCAGGGATAATCCCTTTGCTGGCCTGGGCTGGGGCATGGCAAAGCCCCACCCTGCAGCTTTTGAATTCTGGCATCTGGTGGTGGTGTGAGTTGCCCCCACCCCTGTCACCGCTGAGTGGGTGCCTGGGTGTCCTGCCCTGCCCACCCTGAGCAGGAACTTGGAGGAGGTCTGCCGATTTCCTGAGCTGCCTGCCCGGAAGCCCCTCACCTACCAGGCGAAACAGCTTATCGCTCGTGAGATTGAAATGGAAAAGATGCGGCGGGCAGAGGCCTTGGTCAGAGATGGGAGCAGCCCCCAGGTGAGTCCACCTCTGGTTTGGGGCAGAGCAGGCCCTGGTAGGGCAGTGCCCTCCGAGGGGATGTTGCCCTTGGACTGGCCCCGCCCATCATCTCATTGTATCCACTTCTGCAGGCGGATGGAAGTCCCCCCAGGGTCAAAGGTCCACCAGGGGATGCTGGGGGGAAAGGGACACAGTTACCCACTCCACGCAGCCATGAGCAGCGGCTGGAGAGCATCCTGAAGAGAGCTGCCCTGGAGGACCAGGTTGGGCCCGCAAGGTGGCCGTGCGGGTGGGGCTGTGCAGCCTTGGTGCGGGCCGGTTCTAAGCCTTGAGGGGCCCACGAAGAGGTGCAGCTCCCTGCCGCTCAGCAGGGCAAGGTTTCACCTGATCTTAGTTTCCCACCTGGGCAGGAGGGTGGGTTCTGCCGGCACCTCCTGCCTGGCCTTGAGAGAGCTGGCAGCTGTGAGGGTGGTGAGGGACAGAGGGGACACTTGCTGAGCAGGTCAGCACAGAATGAAGGGAAGGGGCTGGGAGAGGTGTCTACTCCCCAACCCTGGGCCGCTGTTCAGAGGTGCCGTGAGACCCATTCTCCCTGGGAGAGCTCTCCCCGTACGGCAGGGGTGTCCTCTGTCTGTGCCCATGAGCCTGACCACCCCCCTCTTCAGACCGAGAGAGACTTCTTCGGCCGTGTGGTCGTCAAGAGAGCAGCAGCCCAGAGTGCAGGTGTGTGTGGGGCGGGAGGTGTGGAGGGAGGGGCCGGGTCAGGCAGAAGACCAACCCTGTGGCCCCACAGGGGACGCAGCCCCGGAGACTGACGCCGTGGAGCGGCGCATGGGCACTGCAGTGGGCAGGAGCGACGTCTGGTTCCGCTTCAAAGAGGGTGTCTCCAACGCTGTGCGACGCAGTCTGCACATCAGGGACCTGCTGTAGCTGAGTCACACCACACATCCTGGGCCACACTCTCCTCCCCAGGGTCACGCCTGGCGCTGTGGTGCACGTGGACACCCAGATCCATGCCAGTGCCCCGATTTGTACCGGATGCCCAAGTGTCCCCCCATATAATCTGAGATCTGCACCAGACGCCCAGCATTGCTTTCTCCATTAGAAAATGTACAAAAGCACAGATATCCCCAGAAGTCTTTATAAAAGTCACACCTTTACAGAGTTGTTCTTTTCACAGAGGCACAAGCCCGGGAGTGTGGGGTTCTCACAGGATGGCACACTTGCCCTTCTCCACCCATGGGTTGTTCTTCATGAGATCAGGGTTCAGGAAGGGGTCCTTGGGGATCCCGTCCTCAATCCACTTGAGAAGCCTGTGGTTGGGGAGATAGGGTTGAGCAGGTGGGCAGCAGGCCCCCGGAGGAGCTGCCCAGTGGCTGTGTGTGCAGGTTAGATCTGGGCTTATGCAGATGAGTGCGGGGCAGGGAAGCGATATGCAAATCAGCAGCTGGCCCTGGGTGGGGCAGGGCTGAGGCTCGGGTCCCGGGGACTCACTCAGGGATGGTCTTGGATGACATCTCCCTTTTGAAGGCCAGCTGATACTTGAGGCTCTCAACCTCCTTCTTCATCTGGGGCACATCCCACTCCTCCATGGCGTCGGGGGCTTCAGAAGTAGCCAGCCTGGGGTGGGAGGACATGGGAAGAAGTAACAGAACCCCAAGGCTGTCAGCCTTTATCACCCCAGATGTTCCCTCCCCACTGGTGAGACCCCCCCCCACTAAAGGAGAGGGGCTCCATCCTTACCCACTAACACCCAAACCACTGGGGGTGTCCCTGGAGCCCCACCACCAGCGCCTCATGGGCAGTACAGGGTGCAGGGCTGGGTGTGAGGCCTCACTAATGAGGCCCCTTGTGTCTGGACCACCCTGCCCCAAAGGGCTAATTAACTGCAGAGGGAACTTTCTACCCTCAGAGCCGTGTCCCCATCTGATCGAAGCCTTACCAAGGCTGGGCCTCTGGGTTGCAGAGGTTTGGGGCACTGTCCCTGCTGGGGAAGTAGCAGGACTGGCACACAGCACAAACAGGTTCACAGGAAGCTGTACCAGTGCCCCCACCTTCCAACTGCGAGGCTCACTCCCAACTCCTGGTTCAGAGGTGGAGTGCAGACTATCACATAAGGGGTGGGACCCTGCCTGGCCCCTCTGAGCCTCCCTTGCTTTGCATGGGCAAAGCCCCCACTGAATGCAAGTTAATTCCCGACTAGGAGATTTGACTGCACTTTGCATCTCTGGCTGGGGGTTGGGGATGCTGGGGATCTTAGGGGTCAGTAGATCTGGACTTGAAGTAGCTGCGTCTCCTGTTGCCCAGTGTCTCCCCTGGAACTTCACAAACTGCACAGGCTACTTTGTGAACCAGCTTGGTAAAGCCACAAGTCGAGTCCCCAGGAGATCAGCCGGTTTGTGACGTGTGAGGGCAAGTCACTTGTTGCCACCTTAGCCCACTCCAGGGGCCCAGGGTGTCTCATTACCCCCATCCCTGAGGCTGGGAGCCAGGGGACTGGCTTTCTTGGCTTTGGGAGGGTGGGCAGGGAGACCACTGGCTGACAGGAGTGAGACCCTGCCTGCTGCAGGCAGTGGATGGTCTCTATCCTGGGGGGGTGGGGGGTGGGCCCTGGTCTTTGTGGTGTTTGGGTAAAGTGGCCAGACTGGGAGAAGCTGTGGGACAGACAGCCAGGAGGGAGGGTGAGAGCCCAGGGAGGCAGGGCGGCTCTGGTGGGCACCTAAGAGGTGGGTGCAGTGGCTTCTCTCCCAGAGACCCCAAGTTCCAATCCCCAGAGCAGGCTCCCAAGTGGACAACTATGGGTGTTGGGGGGGCGGGGCATCACAGTCTGGAGGTGGTAGTGGCCCTGTCCACAGCGCCCTTCACTGCCGCCTGGCCCCACCTGTGTGCAGCTGAGCCCGGCTTTCCAGCCCCACGCACCCTGACTGCCCCTCAGCCTGCACCACCCCCACACGATACCTGGCAGGCACCGCAGGGACGAACTCGGGTCCCCTTCCTCTGGGCTGCCTCACCCCACCCCGCCCGCAGACAGAGGGGGTCCTCCTCAGCATCTGGCTGGGTCCCTTGGGATACTCAGGGCGGCTGCCCTGGGATGCAAGACACACAGGCGGAGGTGTCTCAGGTTAGGTCTGTCCAGGTCAGCCCAGTAAGACCAGGGCAAGTCTTGGAACCCCGGGCCTCAGTTTCCCTCTCAGCCTAAGGGACCACCCATTCATCAGACCTACCTTGGGCAGTGATGGTGACAAGGGCCAAGTGATGGTAAAGTGACGGCAAGTGCTAAGTGATGGGTGAGTGAGGCTGGCACACAGGCAAAGCCCAGCAGGTGCCGCCCACTCCCGCCACCTGGGGCCCAGCCCTGGCCCCGCCCCCCTCCACCCGCCCTCCTCAGGGCTGAGCTGACCCTGGGGACTTGGCCTGACTCTGCTAGTCTCCAAGAGTGGGAGATGCAGTGTGAGGTCAGCTCCGGCCCTGAGAGGTGGGGCCCTCCTGCTCGGCCCTCCAGCTCTTACAGCAGATGCTGCCTGGACCAGAACTGTACCCTCATCTCAGATGGTGCCCTGGGCATGCCCAGTGGGCCTGCTCCTGTGCCTCACTCTAAGGGAAGTTGAGCCCCCAGGGCCCTTGGGTGACGCAGGTGCCAGGCTGTATCCCGAGCAGGCTCCCAGGTCCCTAAGGAGGTCGGACTGGAGGCTCCCCAGTTGGGGTGGGGGAGTCCTGGGCCAGGTCCTTAGCAAGTGCTCCTGTGGTCTCCCCTGGGCTGAGGGTCTGTGACCAGCCACTCTGCCCCACCTGCAAGGCAGGAGGGGTGCCCCCTGCCCCTTCAGACACCGAGGTCTCTCCTGTTGTGATTCTGTAAAAGGGGTCAGTGACGCCTCCCGGCTCCTAGAGTGTGTGCACGATGGCAGATGAGGAGCTGCTCTGGAACTGGGGCATTTCAGGGAAAGTAGGGATTATTTTATGGATTTGGTGGGGGTGAGGGCTTAGACCCAAGGGTGTCCTTGTTCTCAGGGCAGATGGCCACAGTGCTGGCTCCCCTCCACTCCATCCGTCCCCATCCCCCAACCCCCTGAGGCCTGCGCTCGCCTGCCTGTCTGGCCCCTCTGGTGCCGTGGCTGGGCTGCCTGGGCCTCTCCTGGGACTGGGGGCTCTGCTCACACCGGTAGGAGGCTGAGGGCAGGGGTTCTTGTCGGTCCCCAGGACTGGCTCAAAGTTTGGACTGAGACCTGAGACCTAGGCTGGGTAGATTCCACTGCCTTGTCACACCTTTCCTTTGGAGGGCATGGTAGACAGGCATCCAGAACCAGGCTGTGGCCCGACAGTGTCCCAAGAAATCCCCTGAAAGAGAAGCCCTGGTGTGATCTCACCAGGTGTGGGCCACCGTGCTGGGCTCCAGGGGCCTGCTTTGCAGGTGCCCTTTGAAATGAGAAGGTTCTACGTGGTCACAGTGCTGGAGTTCTCCAGGATGTCCTTAGCTCAGTATAGCTGGGCCTGCAGGGGACAGCTGTGTGGAGGCGCAGCATGTCCCCCGGTGCACGCTGGAACAGTATCTGGGCGCTGCTGTGGAGACACCTGGGGTTCGGAAACGGCCATCATGCTGACTCAGGCAGACCCATGTGATGAAGGCCACTACTGTTTGGTGGCCAAGCTGGAGAATGTCTGCTTGTGTGGGTTTAGGAAGCCACCCCCAGGTGAGAGTTGGGGAGCCCTGTGACTCCCACTTCTCAGCTTCCTGGGAGGTGGACCTGTGGCCCCAAACACACATCCAGGTCCGGGGACCCTCTTGCTGGAGCTGCCTGTGCAGTCTGGGCGGGTGCAGAGTGCTCAGAGGCCCCAGGATTCATTGTGGGAGGGGGAGGCTCAAGAAGCAGGGCCAGCTTGTCCTCCAGCTGAGTGCCAACACGCAGACTCCCAGAGCGGGCCCAGGGAGACGACCGCCTTTCTGAAATTAGCTCCAGTAAGTGGGCTGCTGGTGAGAGCCAGCGGAGCTCCTCGCTGTCCTAGAAACGGCTGCTCCCAGCCCCAGGCTTGCAGAGGCCCCTCACGGGAGAAGTGATCCAGGCCAGGCCTCCCAGGGGCCGTGGCAAACATAGGGGCAGGGGCAGTGATGCTTTCTGTGTTCAGGAAGAATCAAAACATGTGCACGGGTTGCTTTGATGCCTTCTGGGCAGGGTCCTGAGGAGAGCTCAGAGAGGAAGAGCAGGAAATTCCCCAACCAGACAGGACCCACACATGGGTGCTGTCCCCACCTGTTCCCAAGGTGGCTCTGACCTTCAGCCTGTCTCTCACCAGGTCACCTCTGAGCCACCCAGTGCCACACCCAGCCTCTGTCAGCTACAGCTCCATGTGGGGGCACAGTGCCACTTGGGTTCTCCAGAGCCTGGGGCTCCCCTCTTCATGGCTCCCCAGGGAGAGAAGGCAGGTGGCCCTGGGCAGAGGTGTGAGGCCCTTGGTAAGAGTGTCGCCGCTGGCGCCGGTGTCCAAGCTTGTGCTCCAGAGACCGCTGGGTTGGGGAGGTTTTTAGGCCCACACACAACCCTCCCGGGTCACAGACATGGCCTCAGGTAGGGAAGCCAAAAGACAGGTGGGCCTGGTGGCGGGACCCTGCCCGACAGCCCTCTGTCCCCGGGAGGGCACAGGAGCCTTGGGGTTACAGCCACCCTCGAGAGGCACAGTGACAACAGTTCTGGTGGCTTCAGGGGGACATGCTGACTTGCTTTCCACCCCTGGAAACCAAACCAGGACAGGCAAATATGGGGATTAGAGAAACACCAAAGAAACCTGTTATTTTGCCTGGTTAAACAGAGCTCACATAACACTGTAGACAGTTTTTACATAATCTTTGATGGTTTAAAAATATTTTGCAAAAATAATTTAAGCTCTTAGACCCACGAGTGCAAATGTACAACAAATGATTCCCTGGAAATCGAGGGTGGGCAGCTGGCTCTGGCTGGCACATCCTCTTGAGTGACAAAGCCTCGGGGAAGTGACTTTGGTTAACTCGGAGCATCCTGACCGCTCTGTGGTCTAGGCCAGAGGGCGCGGCCACAGCTCCCACCGGCTGGCTGTCCACGGGAATTCTGGAAGTGCCTGAGGTCTCGGCACCTCTGGGTCATACACAGTAAAGCAGCTTCTCTCTCTGACAGCGCTGACTAAAAAAAGCCACAAATTTTCTAATAACAACAAAAATCTGCTTAGAGGCAGGTGGCTTGCGGTCTTGAGGTATGACCTTGGGAAGTTTGTGGAGGGAGCAGGAAGCCTGGGACAGGCTGTGGGGGCAGGTGAGGTCCGGGGCATCACTGGCTCCTCCCCTCCCATGTGGGCAGACACTTACTTTGAAATGACAAAAGCTGAGCAATTGCCCAGGGACACCTAAGGAATAAAGATGGCATCGGGGCACCAGGGCACGGGCCCCACGCTGGGTGCCAGGGCTGGCAGCCTGCCTGTGGGTGGGAGGGCCCCAACCCAGGGTGGGGGTAGGAGGAGATGGTGACAAAACTATCGTCTGGGTGAGTCCTGCTGTGTCAAAAGTGCCACCACGAGTGTTTTGTCCCTGCTGGGAGACAGGACCCCAAGGTGGGTGGCACTGGCTCAGGTTTTAGGCCACCACGTGGGACGGGAAGATGGTGAGGGGCTGCATTTCTGGACTCTGGAGGCTCGGGGACAGCACAGCACCTCACACACATAGTTGGGGCCCAGGGTGCATTGCTCACAGAGGCATAGAGCACTCTGGAACGTGGCAGGCCCTGGTCTTGCTACATGTGTCTGCACACTGTGCGGGGCTCCCTTGATGGACCCAGTGTCTACCTATGTGTGTCCTTAAAGGCACGTGGGCCACACAGGGTGAGTGAGCAGAGCAGACATGCACTGGGCCACCAGGCTGGAGCTGTGGCCCTGGGGGTCTGTCTGGCAGGTGCAGAAGCAGGTCTTTGCCTGAACTCTGGGCCTCCTCTGAGTGGCCACCATTCAACCATTCACTCTTAACATGAAGTGGTGCCCCCGCTTCTATGCAGTGACTGCTTGGAATTCTACCCAGGCACCGGCGGCAGCACCATGCAGGGTGGGTGCAGGCACGCAAGCAGGGCTGGGATGTGCGGAGGGCCGTAGTGGCCTTCGTGGCTGACTGTGCCCGCACAGTCCCCTGTGAGATGGAGCAAGGCAGCGGGGGGGGGGGAGCACGGCCAGCTGTTTGATGTTCTGGGGGCAGCTCACCCTTTGCTGCTTTACAAAGGACACAGGTGCAGACATGCCTGCTGAGCCCTCCAGGACTGTGAGCACGGGAGCCAGGCCCTTGCTGTGACCGTACGCTTATGTCTTTGGCAGGGCTTGTTTCTGGCAACTTAGGTCCTACGTGGTCACCTCCACCATGTTGAGGAGGACGGTGGTTCCATGTGTGAGAACTTCTAGAAGCGACTTCAGCACCTAAAGGTTTTCTTCAAGAGCAAATGAAGGGGAGGCCTTTCAGGAGGCAGCACTGCATCCTGCACCCAGCCACCAGCCTCACTCTGAAGGGCCGGACAATGTCCAGCTGCGACATCAGCCAGGGCAGCTCTGTGAGTAGCCCACGGACATGGAGCAGCAGGCAGGCCTTGAGGCCTAGCTGTGGGTGGACAGGAGTCTTTTGGGGGCCCGGGCACGAGCCTCCCCACGAGCCCTGAGCCTGTATAAAGAGAAGGGGGGAGTGAAGGCGGACCTCACCCTTCAGGGAGACTGGACGATGGAGCAGGAGGAGGTGGGAGAGGTGCCCTATGCAGACTCAACGCATCATAGAAGGGGTTCGAGGGCAGGGAGGTCGACGCACGTACTCTCGGCTACTGCAGGGTGCCGTCGGCTACAGGCAGCACAGTCTGCACTGAAGCACACTGTGCGTGAGCTGTGCAGAGACGAGCTGGGCCCACACCGTAGGGCTGCAGCCTGGACAGGTGTCTGCTACTGTGGGGCAGTGCCTAGGGAGGGGTGGTGACAGGATGGGGCAGGGGGCCAGTCACTGAGGCTGTGTGGCTGGGAGTCTGGGAGAGGTGGGGGTGCTCCACCAGGCTCCAGGGTGTGTGGATGTGCACAGCTCACAGGCAAGTCCCCGCTGAGTGCAGCAGGGTGCAGAGTGGGTGTTGAGCCAGGCTCTGGAGGTGGGGTGGGCGAGGAACCTCAGGAGGGGGAGGGCCGGCACAGGCGCCTCATGCTCTTGTTGGGAGGGGCTTAGGGATGGAGGAGTAACTCAGGAGGCCAACTGCCACAGCCATGGCCTGACGCCAGATGGTCCACCAACTTCAGGGGTGCAGGGCACGGGTGCCTCCAAGTG